TTACGTTTTACACAAAAATAAAAGATTGAAAGACTGAAAACTACCTTTAAAAAAGACACTTTTTGATTTAAAGTAAAAGGAAGTAAAACTAATCAATCAGTTGTAACAGAGGTAATTACTGAGTTAACTGATGAAGGATTTTACTGATTAAAAAAACAACATTTTTTATCTGTGCATTTATCATTGGCTTTCATTGCTTCAGAGTCTAACACCACTGGGACACTGAAGCTGCAGACCCGTGGGTGCCTGGACTCAGACCTGTGTGGAAAGACCCTCACTGGCACCAACTCCAATGCTGCTGCACTTCAAACCTGTGCAATGGGGCTGGCTCCATCCACCTGTCTCTGACAGGGCTTCTGGGAAATGTAGTCCAACATGATACACGCCACCACCCTTATTTGAACTCATTAAGCTAATTCTCTCTTTCTTGACAATTAAGTACCTCTTTGACATTAAAGGGAAACTATGCAGATTTGGCTTGATTTTAGCACCCACTCGTGTTCGTTAGTGAAAGCAAACGTGAAGCTTATCTTCTTGCTGTGTGTTTGTCTATTTAACACCTTTAAACAGTTTAAATGTCTCCTCGGCCTTCATTAGCGTCTACAGGGTTGGTTCATCACTAAATCAAACTAATCAGCTGGGTTCATGATCTAAAAAATTCAAACGTGCTGGAAGCAGACTACAGCTCCATGTCTGCTCCACTTTTACTAATGTCATTTACACACTAGCATTGGCTCCACTCCACCCCACTCAGCTCCGCCCACGTTGCCTTAGGAATGCAGACGTGATTGAGCACATAGGCGGTCTCCAAAATTAGCACAAAAAATAGATATCAGTGATGTCATGAGTGCGTTTTGGAGCATGTGGGCGGAGATAAAGAGTGCAGAGAAGTCTCCATTATTAAACAAAAGCGGCCTGAGCAGTCTTGCTTTGGAGATTCTCTGACTCAGATATTGCATCCTACTTTGCTACTTTGTGTGTGTGTGTGTGTGTGTGTGTGTGTGTGTGTGTGTGTGTGTGTGTGTGTGTGTGTGTGTGTGTGTGTGTGTGTGTGTGTGTGTGTGTGTGTGTGTGTGTGTGAGGTTTTCACTCTGTGCTGCCATCTCTGAAGCACTTAACCCTAGCTAAATATATACCACCTAGCTAACTGACTGAATGAAAAAATAAACGGTTCATGTTGTTTTATTTCATTTTATTCATATTTTACCTGTAATTTGGTAAAAGTTGGTGTCAGATGACAACTTTAGAACTTTTCTTGATAATAAACAAAAGTTTAAACATTACTGCAGTGGTCAGCTGAGATGACATTCAGTTGCTGCCTGCCTGAAAAATGTCTAATGAATACAAATATGGGCAAAACAGGTTAGCTGTTGAGGACTGTTTTAAGTATTTCATTTAGAAAACACTGACCGTGGGACTGGGTGAGTTTTTTTGAGTCACACACTTGGGACCATAAAAACATTTCTTTACTTGCTCAACTTAAAACATGAACTTCTGTCATTTTAAAAGCACAATGGGTCAACTTCCGGCCTAATAAATCCAGGTGCTACACCAGACGGATGTCAGGATCCATGTCTTTATGTCCAGGTATCAAAAATATACTGACTGCCTCTTCAGAGCTGATGTGTTGCTGGATCAGACATCATGAGAGCTACCTTCTTCCTCTTCCCCCTCTTCCTCCGGTACAGTATTTTCCAATTTACCTAAATGCAAAACCACACAGTCATGACTAAAACTCTCCATGATAGAATTACAGTTTAATTCACTGAGAAATGATCAAAACAGAGTAGAAGTGAGCTATTAAATAACCAATAAACACATACAGAGGATGAGATCATTTTAACAGTTTTTCTACCATTTAGTTTGGTTTCAACCTTTTTTTCAACGCACTGATGTTCAATATCACACAGATTGTGCCAGTTACTGCTGACATGGGATTATTGTGCCAGAAACACACTATTATTAACATTAATGGTAATATTGTTTTATCATTTGAAAAAAATAATCTACCATTAGACTTTTCTCAATCTAAGCTCCCAATGAAGCTCAGATTTACAATAATTCTATTTATTGTACAGTAAAATAATTCCAAAGATTAAAAATGTCACAATTTTTTAAGTGGTTACTTTAAAAATTAGATTAATAATTAATCTTACAAAAACATCGGTACATGGGGACTGCAGATGACAGCCAACCAGATGGTTGCCGGTTCACTTCCCCAAAACATGTCCCTCTCAGGACTCATTAACTAAGGTCTCAAAGAAACGTTTTAAACAAACAGGTTACGCCCCAAAGTGAACAGGATTTTTTCTGGATACTGGTCATTGGATTTGTTTAAACACGTTAAGAAAAGCAAACGTTGCTGAAGAGAACTAGTAAAGTACAAGTAAGAACCATAGATGAGATTCAAACAGCATCAGGGTAACAGTCCTAATTTGTGAAGCTGAAACAAAACAAAAAACTGTTTGAAGAGGAGTGAATAAAGTCTCTGTGATGCCATTGGAACATTTATACTCTGCTGCAGAAAGGCTCCTCCTCACCTCCATTTTCTAACCTGACAAATGGATGTCCAGAGACCTCCAAGGTTAAAAGACCACAAGGTCCTAAAAAGCTTAAACTGTCTGAAGCAGAAGCCAGATGCGGTCCAACCTTTCTAGGTCAGCTCATTCTAGCAGCATTTATTTACTTCTCATGTTGTTAAACGGTTTCTTCAGAACACTTCCAAAGCACCAAGGTCACGTGTGTGAGAGGTAGTGAAGATCAGGGGTGTCCAGATGAGGTCCTCTGCTGCTGGAGTCCACCTGGAGCAGCTGGGGTGCTCCTGCAGACCTTGGTGGGAACCAGTGCTGATCTGAGTTCTTTCTAATATCTACAGCCAGTCTGGCCAGATATTTTCATCCACACACCTGCTGCTCTCATTTCAAGACCCCAGGCATGGTTCTGGGTTCAAATCCCAGTAGATCAGCAGCTTCGACCAGCCCATCTGCTTCCAACAACCAAAGTCAAAGTCCTTTAAATCTCATTTTCATCGTTCTGGTGCTCAGTTTGAACTTTAGCCAGTCTTCTTCATCACTTAGAAGCTTAAATGTGGTCCTGCCAGGGCTGATTAGATGAACACCGCAACGTGTCTGAGTACATGTTATAAATCATAGGATTAAATTATTTCATATTACGAAGATCACAAAACAGTTGGGTTATGGTTCTTATGTGAACCTTTTAAAGACTTATCTCCATCTATTTTCTTCCCCTTATCCAAGGGTGGGTCACAAAGGGAGGGAAACCCAGACCCCCTCCTCCCTGGCTCTAGCTCCCCTTGAGGAATACCAAAGCATTCCCAGATTACAAGGTCTAGAATTCCTCCAGCCAGTTCTGAGTCTACCCTGGGATGTCTCCCAGAGGAAAGCGACCAGGAGGCATCCTGATCAGATCCCAAACCACCTCCGCTGGCTCCTTTTTATCAGAAGGAGCAATGTCTCTACTCTGAGCTCCTCCTAGATCAGGATTTTCCAACACTGGTTCATGAGAGCCACTATCCAGCATGCTTTAGATGTTTCCCTGCTCCAACACATGGTTTGAAACACTCATTCAGGCTGCTAATCACCTGCTGATTAAAACCATGTGTGTTAAAGCAGGAAAACAATACATGGTCCTAGATAAAGGAGCGCCTTCGTTACTGAGGAACCTCCATTCAGCTGCTCGTTTCCAGGATCTTGTTTTTTTTCTGTTTTAATCCAAATCTCAGGGCCACTACTGAGTATTAGAGAATGGAGGGACCAGTAGTTTACCTTTTGGCTCAGCTTCTGGAGTAATCCCATCATTACTGCAAACAAAGGCCCCAGTCCATCGGTCCATCCTCCTCCTACCATCACTTAGAAACGAGACACCACGGCTCCACTTGAGGCAGACCTTTACCTCCATCCTAAAGAGTGCATTCTGCTCTTTTCTGGTCAACCATGACCTCCAACTTGGAGGTGTGCTTCATAGTCATCAGTGAATCTCAGAGATGAGACCGAGGCCCCCAGACACTGTCCTCTCCATGACAACATGTTAGGATCCAGTTCATGAAGACCACAGACAAGACTGAAGACAAGGGGCAACTCCGGCTGACTCAACCTTGTGTGAAGAATGCGGGTGCCAAGAGACTCTAGCACAGGTGTCACCAACTCCAGTCCTCAAGGGCCACCATCCTGCTAGTTTTCTGTGTTTCCTGCTCTACCACACCTGAATAGAACAATCTGATCCTCTCCTTACCTCGTTTAACTCTGCTCAGGCCTGTTAATTACTCGTTCGTTTCAATCAGGTGTGTAGGAGCAAAGAAAGAGCTAACGTGCAGGATGGTGGCCCTCGAGGAGTTGGTGACCCCTGCTCTAGCATGCCTCTTTAAACACGCATGACCTGGAGAGCCAAACTCTCCTGACTCCCCAGCAGCTCCACTAGTGGTACGATCTGTTCCACAACCCGGATTAAAGCAACACATCTTCTTCTCAGTCTCAGTTTTGATCACTCAGAGCCTCCAACAGTGAACTGTGATTCATGATGGCTGGTCCTCCTATGGGACCACTCAGGTCTGCTCCTCTATGCCACAACATCCAGAGTCTTCAGCCCCACTAGGTGAATCTCCTCCTCCCATGGTGCCCTGATGCTGGTCTACAATCCTGGCTGCATCCTGTAGCTTATGACTGATGGACCCTGCTGAAAGGGTTTGGTACCACGAACAGAAAATAACCTGCCCCTCTCTGGGTCTGGTGGTTAAACATGCTGCCCCCCCCCCCCCCCCCCCCTGCAGACATAAACACACATGTTGTTGCAGCTGTTGGTGCAGCTTCAAGCCCACCCAGTTATCACACGTGTTCCCATTGAGCACATTCATAAAGCGTAGTGGTAGAAGCTCGTATGATCAGGATGGCTTTGGGTTTGAACACCACTTCAGCTGCTTTATCTGGGATCTAGAGGACGGACCATCATGGGTCACCGTATGAAAACACACTTCCTTCCACCAATGTTTGTTCATAATGCTCCTTTATTCACAACCACAGTTTTTAAATTCAGACTGAGTACATTCAACTCAAACTCTTCATGTGCACGTGTCAGTCTGACCTCTAATGGAAAATAAAAGTGTAAGTGTTGCACAGCAAGCAGTGTGGATGAGGGGGAAAGTTGATTATTGAGAGACAAAAGAATGACAGCGGAGTCGGACGAAAGGCGGCTATCGGGAGATGGAGTCAGGACTGGGCGCTTCCTTACTTTGAGAGCAGGACAGGTCTGAGAAGGAGGGAGAGAAGGTGAAGGTGCAGGAGCAACATGCAGAGCCACAAGGAGAGAAAGGACAAGAGGAAGAGACACAGTTAGAGCTGTTAGTCCACCGTTCTCAGAAACCAAATGCAGAAGTGTCATAAACTGTAGCAAATGTAAACATAAGTGTTGTTTGTCAGCGGTATCCAACTGGGATGGCGTGTTTAAAGCTATGAGACAAAAAGAACATGCTGATTAACTAAATGGATGATTATCTGGTTGATGTTTAACTGAGAAGTTGGTGTTTAAAATGTTTTCTGCACTAAGAACATCAGTGTTTATTTTAGCTCTTTATTCATGGTCACCATTCAAGTTGAGTAACATAAGAATTAAGAAGTATTTGATGCTGGTTATTATTATGGATTAGTTCTAAGACACTGAAAGAGACTGAAATTCAAACTTCAATTTGAGCAACAAGCTAAAACTTATTCTCCTTAATTGGTTCATAATATCATAAAATCCTTCAAATTTGAAAATCAGATGACAGAACTGTTCTCTAACGCCCAATCCCGACACTCGCACTGCCCCTGCGGTCTTCAGCAAAGTGCACTTGGGGGAAGTGTGCAGCGAGGCTTCGAGTGCATGGTACCAAAGTACACAACGCATGTCGGGATGCTGGTCGCTGTGACACATTTAAAAAAAACCTTTATTAACAACTTTCAATCAAACAATTATTTGAAATAAATTTAAATTTATTGCTGCTTTGTCTAAAACATTCAGAGCATCAACTAATCGTCCTAAAATGAACTTCTTTCATTAGAAAATACATATTTCCAGAAAAGGCCGCTGTGAAGGATTGTGGGTAATACACTTTACCCAAGTCCGCATCGATGCAGACTTGGGTGACGTGCGGATCAAGGGTGCAAAAGGGGTGTGATCAACTTTGGCACTTGAGAATTGGGACAGCCTACGCACTCTCTGCTCTGGTCGGTATCGTGCGATTGAAGGGCGTAAGTGTGGAAGTGCGAGTATTGGGATTGGACACACTGAATCCAATATGGCTGCTGCAGCTGTTTGTTCCCTTGGATCTGCTCTCTCCTGGACACTAAACCGCCAACAGCCTTCCCCGATGTGAGCCAAGATGGTTGAGCCCATGAATGTTAATAGATGTGCAAATCTCAGGTTTTTCTAATCCAAACATTTCCCGTCTATATCCTACTGATGGCTAATGCAGGAATTAGGGGTGGAAGACTATTTTCACGTTTAGCCTGCATGTTAACCCTCTCAGACTCAAATTAAGTTTTGATAAAAGGACGAACAACTAAGTCCTTCAGGGATACTTCTGAGTTAAAAATGCTCATGAAATACATATGTGGAGTAACCAGGTAGGTAGGTTTTAACGTTGCAAATCTGCAACACCTGCCTCCAGAGGGTTAAACTCTGAGTGACCATTCAATATTTATTCATTTATATATTATTATTTATTTAAAAATAAGCAAACAAGTAAAAATGGTTTCTCGGTCAACTTAGGCCTAGTCCACACGTAGCCGGGGTTTGTTAAAAACGAATATCCGCCCCTCCAAAAACTTGCATCCACACCACCGCGTTTTAAAAACAAACTCTGTCCACACGTACCCGGATAAATACGTTGTTATGGACATGCCAGACCTGTAGGTGGCAGTACTTCCCCCGTTCTTAACCTCGTCCTTCGTCTGTGGTCTTTCGCAAGGAACAGTAATTCCACTTGCAAAAACAAACAAGCAGAAAGCGCTTGGACAATTGATGGATCGGGTAGTGACAGAGCGCAGCTCTGAGGGCATCCATGCTGTCGGCTAGTGTAAACACAGGTTGCACACGTGATGTCAGCATTTTTTTGTCGCAGAAAGTGATGCTGCGGACATTAAAACTCTGGTTTTGTCTGTCCACACGCAGACACCCAAAACGGAGAAAACGCAGATCTTCACTTTGGCCGGAGTTTTTAAAAAGGTCCGTTTTCGTGTGAAAAAACTTCGTTTTCGTGTGGATGACAGGCCAAAACGTAGAAAAATATCTACGTTTTGGCAGATCCCTGGCTACGTGTGGACAGGGCCTTAGTCTTTAGAAAGTTTGTTTTAGATGTTGTGAATGTTTGATAATGACATTTATTACTGTTTTAAATCTGAAAAGGGTTTTACCCCCTGAACTGCTGCTCTCTGCCACTCCTCTCTCCTGATTGGCTAACAGCAAACACGCCTCATTCCCATTGGTTTCCTCTGGCTCATTGTGATTGGCCCAGGTGTAAGCAGTAGCATAGCCCTGCGCTGTGATTGGGCTCAGCTGGCTGTCAGCCTCACAGAGCCCCGTCCCCAGAAGGTGTTGCTCCACCCCCAGCTGGAGCTCTGAGAAGAGAAGATCACCTCTAGTGGAGAAACACTGAAACTACAAGCACATTTCTGAAAGGCAAAAAAACAGCTGGAACTAAAATGGACTTTAAATGATAGTGAAATAAAAAAATATCTCAACTGAACTAAAAACAACTAACAGACTAAAATGGATTCAAGCTTCACAGTTAGTTAATATAATAATAATAATAATAATAATAATAATAATAATGATAATAATAATAATAATAATAATAATAATAATAATAATAATAATAATAATAATAATAATAATAATAATATAATGATAAGAGTTTAAGAAGGTCGTCTTTTATTAGGTTTGATATTTATAAAAATGTTGATCCTGTGAGAACTTGATGTGCAAACTTCATTTTAATCCTGCAGAATGGAAACATAACTATGGGTTTGGTCCTTTGGCAGATCCTCAGCATGCTTTTAGCAACGTCTCTCAACACACACACACACACACACACACACACACACACACACACACACACACACACACACACACACACACACACACACACACACACACACACACACACACACACACACACACACACACACACACAGCTTGAATCGATTTTAGAAGCTTTTAGTCTTCCCAGAACCAAGTCAGCGCTCCATACACATCTATAGCTCGCTTTCTTCTCCCTGTGACCGTTCCTACACGGTTTGCCACATTTCTGGTCAAATTTGTAACTTTTCATCAGGTAAGCTAAAAAAATCTGACCTGCAGGAAATTCTCAGATCAATTATTCAGAGATAAAAACCATCAGACAGGTGCAGAAAGCTGAGGGAGAGCTGCTCAACATGCACCAACAAGCATGAGTTGTAAAAACAAAAACATTACCGCTTGAACCAAGTGAATCACGCTTTGATTGAAGTGTTGATACTCAATTAATGTTCCAAATACTTTATGATAAAAAACAAAAATGATGTTATTTCTACATTTGTTTTTGGCTACATCTCCTTTAGCGGGCTATTACAGGTGGATGTTGGTGGTTTAACAAATTCAGTTGAAGTGCCCTAAAAAGCAGCTTATTGCTGGGTTTGATTTTTTTTATATTTTCCTAAAAATATTTTTATTTTCCTAAAAATATTTTTTTTTGTAGCAAAGACATAAAAGATTTAGGTCACCTGACAACAAAATAAACAATATTGGATATTAATTAAATTACTGAAGACTTTTAGCTTGAGGTTAGTTTATTTTATAAAATAAAAATTTCAGTCTGGATTTGAAAGTAAAAACAAAGGTTGTCATCATGCCTGTTTATTAAAGGTGTGGTTTACTCATTTAATCAATACATTTGCAGCGTTCTCTAGTGTAAATCAATGCCTGATGAGTCTTTAAAAAAAGCTATGATGGTCCTGTTCTGAGATGTAGATGCTTGGTGGTGCAGAGGTGGGCTGAAAACAGCAGTGTTGCTCATTATTATTAACGATGTGCACTCCCCTCTCTTCTGATTGGCTAACAGAATGCTTACAGTCATATTGCAAAGTCACTATCACCAAGACACTCCGCTCTCTCTCTGTGTTGCAAAAAATAATAATTTTTAAAGCTGTCTTGTGGGTGGGCGCGAGCCAAGACGGATAAGGCCATGAATGCAAATTCACAGTGTGACATCGCAGTGTGAGGATTTTCAAATCCTAGCATTTACGTCTATTTTCTATCGAAAGCTAACGCAGGAGATAGGTGTAGGAGACTGTCCTATGTTCAGCCTGCATAAAAAACTCAGAGTGACTGATTATAAACAGAATTAATCATTAAAAAATTTTTCAGTCAACCACGACTTTCTACTTAAAGCAGAATGTAAAGTTTCAGGTCTTCAAAAAGTGAGTGGAGGAATAATGATCAGAAATGACAAGGAAGAAGATGTTTAGACAGATGGAAATATGACAATTATCTGGAGCTTTAAGACAAGATAAATGTGAAAGATCTCAGGAGACCAGAGCGTTTTACTGACTAGTTTTAGATTTTCATTCAATAATGACTTTTTAAGAGTTTAACTCAATTCTGTTTGTTCGTTCTTCCATTTTTGTCCATTTATCTGAGCCCAGGTTGGGGGGGGCAGCAGCTTCAGCTTAGAGGCCCAAACGGTCCTCCATCAACCTCCACCAGCTCCACTAGTGGGCTGCCCGGGCGTTACCACAGCTATGGAGGTTTCACAAGTGACAACATACTTTTTTTTACTAGTTAAGCAACTGAAAATCTGCAAATGCATTTAATTTGGAAGTCTTTGAATGCTTTACACTGCTTCCAGTTTAACTTCCCGCCTGGCCTACTTTGACGTGTGTAGCGTGTTTACAATGCAGCGGGATGCGTTCAAAAAGCAATGCTTTAGCGTTCAGTGGAAATGCACCCATCCACTAAACTGGCAGCTAATTGCTGCATACTACGCTTCACGGACGTTGTGAGACACTTAGCGCATCTGGGGTAAAGGCCTGGTAAGCCTTCTCCAGATCAACAAAACACACTCCCATGGACAAACTTCCACGATGAACCCCCACCCCATAAATGTAATCATTTTCAAGCTTTACTTGATTCCTTAAAATCAAGGGGGGGTTGAAGGCAAAACATACTTTAGTAAATTCGGTGCAGTTTTGATTTTTGTCTGTTTGGCTGTAATAAAAGAAGTCTGACCCACTGTACCAAAGGGCAAACACAAAATCCTTAAACCAAGGTTGAAAAAGGAAGATGCTAAAGTAAACAAACAAACTTTTATCCTGTAAGTAAAACAGAAACAAAACCAAACTCAGAAGGAAGAAGCATCAAACACTAAAAACACACACAAGTTTGTTGTTTATTCTGATTTATAAACTGGTTCAAATAGTCCGAATCTCCATAAAACAACATTTTACAACATGATGTTGACTTTCAGATGGTTTCATTTAACTTTAATCACGACTTTCTAAAAACGGCACAAAGAACAAAACATGCTTCAGTTGCTAATTATCCAGATTAAAGAGCATGAAAGATGCTCTCTGAGCTTCCAAAAGCATTTCTCAGCAAAATGAAACTTTTAATCATTAATCACTCAGTTTTTTTTCAGCATCTTCCTTTTTATCTCCAGTTTTTCATTTAATGTCACAAAATCTGTAAAGCAACTAAAGAGCTTATCTGAGTGGTGAAATGGTTTTTCCTCTCCCTCTGATAATCTGTCATAAATTATGCACATGCAGTTAAATCATGCGATGAAAACTGTCCTGTGTTTACCTTTCATTGTGGGCGGGGCATAAGCGCTCTGCTTCCTCTGAGAGGTGTCTGAATTCTGCAGAACAAAAGAGACGAGGATCACCACGGGACCAAATGCTGAAAAATATCATTTCAAGTACTTGAAGCCGAGGTTTTCCCTCCCAGCATGTGAGGAGAAAACTTTCTGCTTACAGGAATCAACAATTGGAAAAAGTTCAAATTCATGATTCATAAACACGAACCAAAGTTTGTGATGGTGCAGGATAAATGTTTTTTAAATAATAATTTTAGTCTTATAAATTCAGATTTGTGTAAATATGCTTAATTTCTGGAAGCTCTAAAGTTAAATATCAGTAACAAAATCCCATTATTCTCTATGGGGATTTGAAGCCCTTTATGTTTAGACAATAAAACTAAACTTTTTCTAATCATTGACACATTTTATCTGTTTAGTCTTGTTTTCAAGACTCAATTAAATGTTCATTTTATTTCCATAAAATGATGTTTTTGTTTGAGAATAAACATTTTTTATGCTGAAACCAGGAAGTCTGTCACCAGGTGTTACCTGCTGCTCTTGTGTAAAGCAAAGAGCTTATCTGAGTGGTGAAATGGTTTTTCCTCTCCCTCTGTTTCATGTGTGTCTCTGATCGTTTATACAAACCTGCGACTCTCCACTGGTGCTTTGATGATCTCCAACATCTGCAGAAGAGACCAGATCATCAGTTCAAGATGGCCGCCACAAGTAATCGAACAATGTTTTTACAGACACTGAGCTACAACATCATGTGACAATAACCGTGAATCATCTCCAGATTGTGCATGAAGTTATTTTCTTTTGTCGGTGCGAGACGATACTCCTACAGGTCTTTATTTTCCTCTCTGAAACCATTTAGCAGCCTTTAGGTTTTGGTGTCTCTTTGTGCCTCTTCAGTAATCCCTTCATGCAGGTGATCTCCTCTGTAATGAGTAAGACTTGTCCAGCTGGTAGAAGCTTCAGTTACAAAAAAAGAAATGTAATATATTTCTTATATCGAAGACAGGGGTTATGTTGGTTTTATATATGACATGTGGGGTCCCCCAAGGCTCAATTCTTGGACCACTGCTCTTCAATCTCTACATGCCCCCCTGGGTCAGGTCATAAACAGTAACAACATTACCTATCATAGTTACGCCGGGGACACACCGGCCGCGGAAGCGCCGCGAAGCGAATCGCTCACGAAATTCGGCCGCTGCTCGCCGCTCCTCAGTTCAGATCAGACGCGCCCCAGTCGAGGCGTGCCTCGGCTCAGCTGTAGTTTTTCTTTTGAACACTTGGTGTCCTCCATTTCCTCTCTGCCTTTTCTCAGCTCTTTTCCTCTACGTTTGAGTGTTTGTATGCGTGTGCAGTAGCGGTTTTAGGCACGGGCAGACAGGGCAGTTGCCCGGGGCGGCATTTTTTCATGACACAAAAGGGGCGCACAAGCGCGGAGTAAAAAAAAAAAAAAAAAAAAAAAAGGAAATCTGCGCCGCACCGAGGTTTTCTATTATCTGTCATAGTGTCTGGATTGGAAACAGCGAGTTGGCGCCCCCTGCAGCTGCAGGCGCTCCTGCTGACTGAGAACGTTCACGTGCACGTGTCTATGAAGAACAGGAAGGGGAGGGGTGCGGCGGGGGAATTCACCTCTGCGTCTTTCCCAAATGAAATGAGCGTGCAGGGGCTGAATCAACTGTATTAACATGGCTAAAGTCAATCACATCTTAACGTTCTTCCATATTTCATTCATAATATCATAAACACAGGCCTATCATTCTTTCAGGTGTTTCTGAATTGTGTGAAATGACCGAATAAAAAAAGGAAAAACAAAACGATTTTGTGGTCACCCCCCCATCAAGGTCAAATTGTTTAGTCCTGACTAAAGGAAACTTACTGAGTCAGGAGCCAAACAGAAGAGATGAACATAAAAAGGCTAAAACCACCAGGTGCCCCATTCAGGGGATTAAAAAATAAAAAAGAGGAGAAAGATAAAGGTATGTAGCTCTCATGATGCATGTTTTCAATTTTTTGAACCAGTTAACTGGGATTTTAATGCTTAAATGCGGTCAACTAATTGCTAACAGAGCTAATAGGGCTGAAATATTGAAACGAATATTCAAATGGTTCGAAAAAAGTCCTTGAATCGATTTTTACTGATTCAAACTAGGATTTGTTAAATGCTCGCTGCAGCCTGTGGCCTGCATGAACAACAACAAACACATGTTGATCATGTTCACATAATAATAAATAAAACAACTCTACAAGCAGAAGAAAACTCCCAAGTCACCACTAACTATCCTGTTTATTTATTGCAGATGGCTGCACTGATTATTTTTACATGATTTGTTCTGTAAAAGTTGGCATTTTTGGTAGTCTACAGTTTTTTATGTCAGTTTAAATTACAATTTCAGAGGCAATTCTAAAATATTATGGATCATGAGATCTATTGGAGATCTACCCCAACTTTTGGACTTCTCTGCCAGTCACTGTGGCTCCAGCTGAGAGGAGCTTTTCAAAACTTGATCAAGTCATACCTGAGGTCACCTATGTTTCAGGGGCGGCTCACTAACCTGGCTCTGATTAGTATCAATCACTCAGTAGGGGAGCAGATTTCATGTGATGACATTATTGATGACATTGCATCAAGGTTAGGTTTTAATTTTTGTTTTGTGTTTTCTGTTCTAAGTGCAATGCTGTAGTGATTATCTTTAGTTTGTTATGTGTGAAATATTTTTGCTATTTAGAATATTTATTATCTATTATGTTCATCGTCGTCGTCGTCTTCCTCCGCTTATCCGGGTCCGGGTCGCGGGGGCAGCATCCCAACTAGGGAGCTCCAGGCCGTCCTCTCCCCGGCCTTGTCCACCAGCTCCTCCGGCAGGACCCCAAGGCGTTCCCGGACCAGATTGGAGATGTAACCTCTCCAACGTGTCCTGGGTCGACCCGGGGGCCTTCTGCCGGCAGGACATGCCCGAAACACCTCCCCGGGGAGGCGTCCAGGAGGCATCCTGACCAGATGCCCAAACCACCTCAACTGGCTCCTTTCGATCCGGAGGAGCAGCGGTTCTACTCCGAGTCCCTCCCGAATGTCCGAGCTCCTCACCCTATCTCTAAGGCTGAGCCCGGCCACCCTACGGAGGAAACTCATTTCGGGCGCTTGTATCCGCGATCTCGTTCTTTCGGTCATTACCCAAAGCTCATGACCATAGGTGAGGATTGGGACGTAGATCGACCGGTAAATCGAGAGCCTGGCTTTCTGGCTCAGCTCCCTCTTCACCACGACAGATCGGCTCATCGTCCGCATCACTGCAGACGCCGAACCAATCCGCCTGTCGATCTCCCGATCCCTCCTACCCTCACTCGTGAACAAGACCCCGAGATACTTAAACTCCTCCACTTGAGGTAGGACCTCTCCCCCGACCCGGAGGTGGCAAGCCACCCTTTTCCGGTCGATTATTATGTTCATATATTCTTAATATTTAGTTATTGTTTGTTTTTGTATATTTGATTCTATATATTTTGATACAGTATATAATGTATAGTGCTTTACATTCTGACAACTTCATAGTAATTAATGTAAATATGTGCAACTTAGAAAAATGAATGTTCAATAGTCGTTCTAATAAAACATGCCTGTTTGTAGAAAACATGCGTGCGTTCATGCAGGTGGGGTGGTGTGGTGGTGGTGGTGGGGGGCGCTCAAAGGGGGCCTCGCCCGGGGAGTAATTCGATGTAGAACCGCCACTGTGCGTGTGCGTGCGTGTGTGTGCGCGCGCGTGTGCGTGTGTGTGTGTGTGTGTGTGTGTGTGTGTGTGTGTGTGTGTGTGTGTGTGTGTGTGTGTGTGTGTGTGTGTGTGTGTGTGTGAACCTATGGTATGAGTTGTTTCTGCCAGTTGAATCTCTTGGAACCCGCTCCAATTCTGCAGCTGTATCCTAGCAGTTTCTTCCGACATGGGTACGTAATTAAGCATGTTTTTCAGGGGTCGTACAGCTCCTTGTGTTTCTCAACTTCCATAATTAATTTAAAGTCATCCATCCTAACTGCTTGCCTCAGACTTTCTGCCTCTCTGTCCTGTTTGCTCTGGTGAAAAGACACCCAAAACCACACACCCCTTCACGTGGTCACACACGCACACAAGTTCGATGTGTGTGCGTGTTCGTGTGGTTTTTCTGCAGTGTCTGTTTATGAACACATTTGACTATTGCGGAATTTTATTTTGAAATGCTTTATTTTGTTAACTTTACCGGCCTGCCTCTTATGTCTACGTTTGACTTCCTGCCAGAATTGACGCGATTCACCCGCAGCTCGCGAAAAAAATAGAGCCAACGCCGAAATGATCGCTGCACGGCGCGGGCTGGAGCGCCGGCGCGAGGCGATTCGCGGCACTTCGGCGGCCCATGTGGTCTATAGAATAGCTTAACAAGGGCGCCGAATGAAGGCGGTCCTATTTTCGCGGCGCTTCCGCGGCCAGTGTGTCCCCGGCATTATGCAGATGACACCCCAGTGGCCTAGTGGTAGAGTGTCTGCCCTGAGACTGGGAGATCAGGGTTCGATTCCTGGTTGGGTCATACCAAAGACTGAAAAATGGGACCCAATGCCTCCTTGCTTGACATTCAGCAGTAAGGGGTTGGATTGGGGGTTAAACCACCAAATGGTTCCCAAGTGCGGCTTTGTCTGCAGCTGACCACTCCCCCAGGGGATGGGTCAAATGCAGAGAACAAATTTGCACAAATATCAGTGTGCATGACTTTGACTTTGATCTACCTAGCTCCATCATATGACTGTGGTCCCCTACACTCACTCTATCAGTGATTGGAGCAAATTAATGACTAAATGCAGTCAAACTTCCTCCAGCTAAACAAAGACAAAACTTAACATATTGTCTTTGGATATAAGAAGGACAAGATGAAGATTATTGCTCAATTTGGCTCCAGAGAAATAAAGACAAAGACCCAGGTTAGAAATCCTGGTGTTATAATTGATATAGACCTGAGCTTCACTGGTCACATTAATGCTATAACTAGATCAGTGTTTTATCATCTGCATCAAATAGCACGACTCAGGGATCTCATGTCCTGACAAGACCTAGAGAAACTCATTCATATGTTCATCTCCAGCAGGCTGGACTATTGCAATGGTCTTTGGACTGGCCTTCCCAAAAAAAGCTGTGGAGCAACTGTAGCTCATTCAGAATGCTGCCGCTAAAGTCTTAACAAGAACTAAGACAACTGAACACATCACTCCTGTTCTTACATCTCTGCACTGGTTATCAGTAAACTACAGAATCAAGTTCAAAGTACTTCTACTAGTTTATAAATCACTCCATGGCATGGGGCCAGAATACATGTCAGATCTCCTTCAGGTACATACACCCAGCAGGGCTCTAACCCCGGCTTTCCACAGGAGCCGTCAGCAGCACGTCATAGCTGCTGATAGAAACCGCTGTGGTCAACAGAACCTTTTCCACTGGAGCCGTCAGCAGCGCGAGTCGGCCGCGTCTCAGGAGCAGCATGTCGCTGCCTTTACGCGCCGGTTCTATTTTTTACGCGCGACGCCTCTGAAACGGGTCAAGTTTGACATTTTTGGGGAAGGAAAGACAGGAAATCGGACGCGGAAATGGAGAGAAGCTCCGGAGATTTTCAGAATAAAGAACGTACTGCCTTCCGGTCGCTTTACTTTTAAAAAAAGTTACTAACTGTGCGTCCCCGTGAGAAGTTATCACCTAGCTAGCGGGCTCCTTTGTTTTTCAGGTCCGTATTGGCGATTATAAAACGGACAGAACATAAAACACAAACCATGTTGTAATTTTCTCCTGCTTGTTGTTGTGTTTACTGACGAAGTCACTCGTGTGACTTCGTGCCCTGTCGGTGACAGTTGCTCCCCTGCTGCTTCGCGTCTCGTGGGAAGGGCCAAGCAGCAGCTAGACGTGCTGCTGCAGTAACGTGCTGCTGACGGCTCCCGTGGAAACCCGGGGTAAGATCCTTGGGAAACAGTCAGCTGGTAGAACCTCGGGTCAGAACCAAACAGGGTGAAGCTGCTTTTAGCTACTCTGATGCACACAGATGGAATCAGTTTCCTCATGACCTCAAATGTGTCCAAACTCTAATAACCTTTAAATCAAAATTGAAAACCTTTATGTTTTCATCAGCCTTTGAATAAATGTTTGTATGCTGCACCTTCTGCACTGTACTTGCTCACTATGTAGCTTTGTCTTTTTATCTTTAATTTTTAGATCCTAATTTAATTTGTGTGTATTTTAATTGTGCTGTCATATTGATTTAATGTTCTTGTTTTTCTGCTAATGGAAAGCACACTGATTCACCTATGTGTATGAAATGTGATATATAAATACCTATAAACATATGTATGTCCATCCATCCATCCATTTTCATCCGCTTACCCGGAGTCGGGTCGCGGGGGCAGTAGCCAAAGTCGAGAGGCCCAGACTTCCCTCTCCCCAGCCACTTGGGCCAGCTCCTCCGGGGGAATCCCAAGGTGTTCCCTGGCCAGGTGAGAGACATAGTCCCTCCACCGTGTCCTGGGTCTACCTTTAGGTCTCCTCCCGGTTGGACGTGCCCGGAAAACCTCACCAGGGAGGCGTCCAGGAGGTATCCTGACCAGATGCCTGAGCCACCTCAACTGGCTCCTCTCAATGTGGAGGAGCAGCGGGTCTACTC